ACTTCCTACACACATAAACTGAGATTTTTTTTCTTTCAACAACATAGGCAGCAACTGGATCTCCGGACTTCAGTTCATAAGAACTGGGATTTATAATGTTAGGGTGACTTCAGTACGACTGACGAAGTCAACAACCCCAAAAAAAAAATTCTGACACACATAACTGAGATTTTTCCTTCGACAGCATAGCAACTGGATTTCGGACTTCAGTTCATAGAACTAGAATTTATAATGTTAAGAGGTGACTTCAATCTGACCCAAACCAAAGTCAACAACCCCAAAAAATTCTGAGACACATAACTGAGTCAAGCTCACAAAAAAAAATCAGTGGTAATATAGTAATACTTTCTGAGACTGTCCCTTGATTTACTCAACAAGTATTGGGCCAAGCTTTTCAATTACCATGATTTTAACACTTATCACTTAACCATGTGCTCTGTTGTACTCCTGCCCAGGAGTCCTTACATGTATTTTCTGTAAATTTTTCAAAAGATTGCATTCTTTCTGGTGTCCATATCACCACAGAGTCCTCCAACCCCTCAAAGCAATTGCTGAAATTATACATGTATTAGCTCTCATCTAAACATAAAATACACTTACCCAGCCATGCCAGTCGGTCTACACTGCTTCACGAACAATATAAATTTATAAATCATACTAATAAAACAATACAAAAAATACAAAATACTCAAGTACCTAACACAACACAGGTTATACAAATAAATTCACTTACTTTAATTCTGACCACAACATAACTAGCTTCCAATTAAAATTAAAAGCTCTTCACCCATATTATGTCAATTACAAGCCATGCTATTACATAACCTTAATATAATTATGGCCTTCCGGTACCTCAAGAAATCGACACTGTACGGCACTTCGTAACCCGGCACATGATCAATGTCCTCATTGTCTGTAAATAACCAAGTGATATCAGGTGATCTGTAACAATTGCTATGGTACCAGTGCAGAAAAGTACCCAAAAAAAATTACCTTCAGCATACAAACCAACACTTTTCTGAGATTTCACAAAAGACTGCAAAAAAAAGTGGTGGCAAACACCTCTGTTTTTCCAGACATTTTCAGACACTTTTCAATCCATTTACTGTGCACTTTACTTTAAAACGGATTTCTAATTTTCTCGAGGGCCATGTTCTAACCTAACTCAAATAAAATTTGCAGTGAACTGTTTTCAACATCTCCATAACCTCAAAAAATTTTTGCACAGAATTACACTATACTAACACACTGGAAAAATTTCCATTACAAGACTATTAGCACTCTAAAATATTCATTATACAGTGACATGGTTAGGTAGATGCCTGGAGAAATGGTTATTACAGCTCACATTTAAACCTAAAAAGAGTACCCCGTGTCGTTTATTCCTCCTGATCTGATATCATGTAGATTACATCGCCTCCGTGCCACTTGTGTAAGGCGGGTTTCAACACATACACCACCCTTATACTTCTCTATTATTGTTCTTTTTGCAACACAATCAAAACTTCCAATTCCTCGGATTTGATCAATGATTAAAACCATCCCACTTCACCAGCCACCAATTTACACACACCAGATCTGGGGTACTAAATCTAAAGTTAGCAACTCTAATCTTAATTTCTAAAGTGCTGCCACCAGACCCCTCTGGACAGCATGTATTTCGTTGGAGTAGCCGGGCAGAGTGGACTAGGCATTGGAGTTAGGTTTTCATTGATCAGATCTAAAGATACAAAAGGTGGCTCCTGCTATACTCTTCATTGATTTATTTTCTTATAAACACACTGGTAAAAACACATACTAACCCACACTGGCGGACCATAATTCCAAAGGCTGCTCCCAGAATTATAGCACTGGCACCTCCTAACCTTAGCAACTGCTGTGGTGGTGGTTACACTCCACGACCGAGATGGGCTTAGGGTCCTCAGCCCACGGTGAGAGTGAAACCCGATTAATCACTTTGAGAATCAGCTACATCAATCCTATATTGACCACTTGCTGGGTATCCACCGGCTCCGGCGACCGGTGGAGTTCAGTCGCCACCCTCGATCTGGAGACAAGCGGGAATCAGCGTCAGGGGGCGAAAACATGACAACACCAACAAACTCTCTTGTCTGAGCGACAGGCGTATTTACGTTATATTACTTCTACACTGGGTGAATGACAATTCCTTTATTAGAATATGAACACTGGTGAACACTGATAATCACTACAATTGACTGAATTAGTAACTGAATGGCACAGAAACACTAAAGAACATACTACTAGAGACAAAGCGGGAGTCAGCGTCAGGGCGCTGATTCCTCGCTCCTCTGAGGTTGCCTACACTAAGTTACTTGATGATAAGCTACTCACACAATGACAATAATTACAAACACAAACAAACTAACTGTTACTCATTCAAAGATGACCCTCAATTGACAAAGGTCTGGCAAATTACTGAACGGGTTTTTAGGAATGACAATGAGGTGCGCAGTACACTACAGCTTTTGAATTTAACTCTCGTACTTGTTCCCACGTTCTTTCGGCTTGGATGTAGATGTCTACGTTTACTGCGTTGATGTTGGCTCTTCTATGGAGTTCTTCGTTACTGATGTTATATATGAATCTTAGTCATTTATTCTGTACCGTTTGAAGTTTCTTGATTCTCGTTGCATTAAATGAGTTGGTTGGTACAGGCGGGTAGCACATTACTGATTTTATTAGTGCCGTGTATAATTTCCTTTTGTTTGGTATGTTCAGGTTTTTTAATGTTATTTTTTGAGAGTTTGCTACATAGTTTGTGGACTTTTTCGTTGATGAAGCTCTGGCAACCATTTGTTGCGATTTTCAGTCCCACTACTTGAAAGAGCGGAAAAGTAGTATAGAGTGATGAATAAAATGCAGATAATACTAATAAATGTAATAAGTGTTGTAAGGGATATGAGTATACTGTACTGTATATGTCTGCACGACATACAATATTGCAAAATATATTGATTGCGAAATGTAATAAATTACAAAACAGGGAGATCTTGTTATACGAAAATTTGATGATACAAGGTTAAGGAATTTGCACCCTATATTCGCAATACTGTACGAGCGATATTGTTTGATGATACGAGAAGCGAGGACAGTGGCCTCGGGGTTAGTTATACTGCAGACTTTTCCTGTGAAAAAGCCATAATTTTGAGCAATATATTACTGTACTCATTTTGTACTCAAATGTACTAGTCTAAAGGACTAAAAATTTTATCTCTTGTGCAAATTATGTGATGTTTACACTCAAATTATTCACTATCTCACAAGGATTCTAGCAATGCAAGTTATATTCTGCTAAGTTGAGTCTGTGACATTTTATAAGATAAAATCTTTAAGCTTAAAACTACCTTCGCCCTGGCTGGGAGGATGAGGACAGGGTGAGGTGAGGTGTTGATAGCCGGGCGGCGCAGGTTACCACGTGCGTATTTTTCAGTCATATAGAGGGAGTAAGTTTTTCGCTTATAAAATGTCAGTGAATAAAACTTACATTGCTGGAATTCTTTTACTTTTTTCACAATATGTATGTAGGATGATGTGTGCATGTAAATGAGTAAAAATAAATGAAGAAAGTTACGTATATCTATCCAAAAATACTAGTTGAAAAACAACCATAACACCTCACAGCCTGGCCCAGTAGTCTGCCTGATGGTTGCTATGATGAGTCTAACTTGGCTACAGTGTGGCTCAGTTTACCCAGCCGAGTAGGTGGAACAAGCAGTGATGTGGTCTGTGATGTAGATGCAGAGACATGTTTGTGAGCCTCTCAGCCAGGCTGCACAACCCCCCCCCTACCGTATTCCCCACAGCCAGATGTGCAGAGACGAGTTTGCGAGCGATTCAGCCAGGCCGCACACCCCTCCCCTACATCCCTACCGTCCTCCCCCAGTGTTTGAATCTGCTACCCCAGTTTGTCTGCTTGTACTGAATTGCATTTATTTATGTCATTGCTATACTCGGTGCTCGGGAACGCATCCCTACAAACCTATGTATTATTCCCTGTTATACAAGTTTTTGCTATACAAGCAGACTACAAGGAACATATCTACTCGTATCATCAAGATTTTACTGTAATATTCAATCATTGATTACAATAATATGTGGAAAATCTATACAGTACTGTACAGTATACTTCTGTATAGCATTTTACACACCAATATGTACTTAAACATGCCCCAATACCTGTACTTTACATGATTAGCCAGCTGACAACATGTGTGTTGCTTGTGAATCTTAACAATATCAATTATGTAGACTTCATGGTATACAGTAATAATGTACACTTGGTAAAAAAAAAATATCTTTCAGGAGAGGTCCTATGAATTTGGAAATGAACAGTCCTGTTGTTTCTCTAGGGTTGGTAGATGTGATTGAGACATTCCCTACCTATTATGGTAGGTCTAATTTAGTTACTTCATTCAAAATATAAAATTAGTTCATTGCATTATGATTGGTGAAGAACAGTATGCCTCATTAGCCTTTATCAAAAGCCTTCATTCACAAGTTATTTTGTTACGCACAAGAATTGTAAAGTAATTTTTTACCGAGTGTACGGTACATGAAAAGTGTCGCTGCAATATACTGTTACGTGTTGTGGGCTAAAAACAAAATCCTACAGTGTCACTGAGAGTGTATACTGTACAATACAAAGAAGGTGCATCATGTGATACAAGTGCAATGAGTTAATACTCGGGAGTGACTGTCAGTGTGAGCCATTCCCATTTTCCCACGGTGACAGACAAAGGTCACGCCCATTTTTTATCATTCTGGGTTAATTTCTGGGCGTTTTTTTTGGGAGGGGGGGGGCCTAGTGCTGGCATGTCATTTAATTATAATATCTTGTAGCGACATAGGGTTTAAAGGAAAATAGTTTGGTGAGGAGGTAATATTATAAGAAAATGTAGTTAAGATGCCTCTTATCATAAGTATTTTTGAAACTGGAATAAAAAAAAATTATATTGAGAAGGTTTTACAAAAACATAAAATATCTTTATTGACAGTTTAATAAACATAAAGTCATACACAACTGTTGCTGACTGTGATACCAGATCAAGAAGGTGAGTTGCACGACATGCCATCAGAGATTGTCCTGTGGGAAACATTGGGAAATTGAGGCAGTGTGTGTTACAGTTCATTCCCATGGTTTCCTTTCTTCTACCTCAAATGCTGAACTGCTTGTGACAACCCACACATGATAAAATAAAAACCATGCAACTGTCATACACAGCACACCTGAACTAAAGGTTAATGCAATCTTGGCCCTTTTTCCAATCATATGATTCTTAACATTGTTTAATAATGACAAATATGATGTTCCAAGGGAACATATGGGTATAGGTTTATAGGTTTAGAATAGATTTAATAATATAAAATCAAATTATAAATCTGCTTTTATTCCTCATATTTAAGCCCACAGTTCTGTCCAGCATCATTATCTTCAAATAGATAATATGAAAATATACTGCCTATGCCCAAATTACATTCAATCTGACCACATCAAGACCAATGCAACATACAGTACTACAGTTTTTGTCAATTCAGTGACATAGCTTGTAGACAAAGTAAAGGACAAAATTATATTAGGATCCGCTATCACACTCATGCACAAAACTCTTCTTGGTCTTAAATGGCCAATTCAAAGTTTCCATTGAAAATATCACCTGTACTCAGGGATGAATATTATTGAAAATGTGAAAGTTCAATAAGGTTCTGATCAATGAATTGCTGAGTGACTGACTGAAGTATCAGCCAATTAAGACCAGCAAAACATCTGCATTTCTAATATCTTCAATATACATAAACTGTACCTACCATTTACTTTGGTTTTTCTGGTTTAATAGAGATTACCAAGTCACAGATATACTGCAGATACAAAAGGCCCACCCTACTTATTACTCTGTTAGAATAGCAAAAATACATTCACACACACACTTTGTTCATGGATCAATAAAAAAAAAATATATATATATATAAATAGCTAACATAACGACTGGTACACTCAATCATCAAATTATTATAAATCAAAAACAAAGTTGATATTTATTAATATGATATATAATCCAAAAAAAAACCCAAAAAGTGCCAATGAGTTTATGGAAATTCCTGCACCCAGAGTGAGCACTGGTACTGTACTGGAAAAAGTGGAGCCTAGAAAATAATGGCAATTCCACACATGTCATCTGCATTGAACTTCAATAACAAAACTGAAAGTTCAAATACAAAATCCTCTGTGCAACTACATTAATTGTATCACAAAATTTGTTTTCAGAGGAGCTGTGTCTGGCATATGGAATGTTTTATACCACTGACAAGTTTAAAATATTTTTTTTTTCTGAAGGATCCTCTTCAAACTGAAAAATATGTATTTGTTAATCACACTCAAAAATCATTGCATCTTCATAAAGAACCAAAGAATAATTAATTTCAGCCTAAACAGACACAGTGTAGATGAACAAAGTATATATATACACCTTTAAATACCTTGTGATTCATACATTATCATTTCAAAATCTTCTTACCAACTCCACCTACCAAAGCCTCTTAAGAAAATAATGCACAGTATTATACTATTTATCAAGCTCTCAGGGTAAAAAAAAATCCTGCCTTCCAACTTGTAAGTTTTACAGGATGATGTACCAATCTAAAAGTTTTCATTCATCACTGGGGAAATGTTGAGCAGAGAACATGAAATGTGATCCAATTATGCAGTCAGCAAGCACAGGGAATAATAATTAAAATAACAATAATAGGTTTTAAATTCATCTGTTAAATATTCCTTCATTGTTATCATACAATCACTGCATATCAAGACTCACATAATTGCTTTTTATACTGTACCTATATTTTTAAGATGCTGTCATGTGTTCATAAATGACCTTCTGATTCTGAATTAAATAAAATTTAAAATAAATTACCAAATGACATACTAGCAACACTTAATGCCTCTTATTATTGGTGAAATTACTTACTAGTAACACTTAATGCCTCATAGCACTGGTGAAACTGTTCCAACTATCATAGCTGATAGGTACAGAACTCGCATTTTCTTGTAAAATCTAGGAAAACTAAAAAAATGCTGCAATGTGCAAAAGGAAGAATTACATACAACTAAACTTTCAACACAACACACACTTCAGATAGAGAACTATCACATAAGAGAGAAATCCAACCGTTCAGACACATTGCCCAATGATTAACGCTAAGTTAACACTATCAATCCTCAGCCAACATTCCTAGTCTTTCATGTATATGATATAACATTTATACAATATGATGTGCATTTCTACTGAACTCATTCTTAAATCTGTCTTAAGAACATAATTAAGCTGGTTGATAAGGAAATGGATTTTTGGTATTGCTGCAAGAGAGAATGAATGAAATGGAAAGTCAATAAATCCTTTGATTCTCCATGCTATCAAGTTATGAAGCCAATATGAGCTAAACTTTCTAAACAAGCTAACCAAAAAGCTGGGCCCCCCTGTACCACAGTAACAGCTGGACACATGCAAGTTATACTACTGTGGAAATATCAATCACCCCAGATTATAATCCATAGCCGAGACTGAGGCTACCTAAGCTTCATTATTTATAGAAGACTAGTTAATGGATTGGAAACTTATAAAAAGCACTTCATGATCATATGGTAAGCTACATAAGATATTTCTGACCTAAAATTTTTTAATCTAACTGCAAGTATAAAAAAATATTCATTGGATAATTTATTTTTCTTTTATGAAAGTCATAACTGCAACTTGTGTGCACTAGACACAACTTTGGTAACTACAGGTATACATTACCAGATGTTGGTGGTTGCTGTAAATAAATTTGCAGATTTTTTCATCTATGCAATGAACTCAACCCCTGATGTTTCAGATTCATCTGCAATAACACTAGATGTATACACTCTTACATACTTTTAGTTTCATTATAAGTTTAAATAGTTGTAATTAATAAGAAATTCAAATAAAAAACACACACTCTGTCAATCAAAATATACATCAATTTACATCATGTTCAGATACTCTACACACACTCCTTTATCTTTACAATGTAACAGACAGCATCTAGGCTTAATGCAAATGTGATGAGTATAAATCTGACTTTATTTTGGTTAATTCCTCTCATCACTATCCAAACAATCATGCACCATTTCATTATACTGAGTTACACCACTAACCAACACCCTCAATGCAAGCTTTGATCATCAGCTTCCAAGTGGTGTATGGTATAGTTGCCAAGAGCTTTCTACAGACCTATCTAGTCTGTATTTCTCTACTTCATTCAGTGCTCTCACATCAACCTCAAGACTTCTATCCATCACAAAGGTCCTCAACCCTACTGACTGCTGCCCAAATGGATCAGAGATTAGCAACAACCACCTCCTTGTCCACCTGCTGCTCCCTGGTTTCCAGTTAGACCTGCACCACTTGGAGAATGCTGAGGGCCAATCTTTATACCATTTGCCTGCAAAACCAGATACAATATATTCTGAGAATAAAATATAATAATATCTACACTTAGATATGGAAGAAATAGATAACAGGTTCAAGTAATCTATTTCAAAATTCCTGCCATTGAAGAAAAAAGAGAGACTCATTAGCGGTTAAGTTCAGAGATTTAGGGAAGGGGAACAACATACAAGGTCATATGCAGAAAAAGCCATATTCAAACCTGCCTTAATATTGCTAAAAATCTTTTTATAAAACTGATCATAAACCTCCCCCATGACAATGAGAATCTCTTCATATTACCATTTAAAAAAAATTTATCCCAAATTCCTCTACTACCGAAAACCTGGAACGTAAATGAAACATTAGTAATTCATGGACTGTAAAACTAGTGTTCATTAAGAACTACCCCCAACAATGCAGGTGGCTGCATTTACAAGGTTCCTTACAAGGAATGTAATATGTTCTACTTAGGTCAGATGGGCAAAGATCTTATAATTAAACAGCATAAATTCACTAATATCTCCGTTAGCCAGAATCCCTCAAACCCGTAACTTTCCAATAGCTGGAATTTCAATTTTCTTGGAAAATTATTCCCAAAGCCGGAATTTTCCGGAAAAATTCTGGCTTTGGGAACGATTTTCCGAGGGGCACACTTTCCAGAAAATTCCAAGAAAATTTTCCCATTACCCGGAAAATTCCGGGGATGGGGGAATATTTTTTCTGGGTTTAAGAGGTGAAAATCAGTCACATTTTCTGGAAATTCTGAGAAAATTTTTCCATTACCCAAAAAATTCCGGAAAATTCTGGGAATTAGGGATATTTTTCCGGGTTCGAGAGATGATGTACAGTCAGCCAAAGATGCACCGACCCCATCCTGGATCTCGTGCTCGTAATTTTACCTGGCAATACTTGGTAAAGTAAGGCTGTATGTAAAGGTGATTGTGATTGGTTGATTTATTTTCGGCTGTATCACTGTCAGGTTAAATATTAAATAATCCAAAGGTAGAATTTTTATAATAATAAACTATTCATTGTTATTTAAGGTCATAAGAAGTTTCCAAATGTTCTTATATTTGCTTAAATAATGAAGAAAATTTGATCTGAGAATCTTGTGGCAGTCCTCGTTCCTCATTGTAGTTGCCACTTCATAATATAATTTCTTCATTATTTAAGCAAATATACGAACATTTTGAAACTTATTACCTTAAATAACATTGAATAGTTTATTATTATAATAATTCTACCTTTGGACCAATGAGAAAGCCTATGAGGCGTGACATCATGAAAGTTGTGGCATTTCTTGTAGGCTGACGCGGTTTGAACAGGAGTCTGTGTTGGAATTTTGTGGAGGGAGGTGTGTGACATCTGTGTGGCGAAATGGAAGGTATTTGGGTGTACTCTATTTGGTAAATCCTAAGTTCCCATTTGTTCCAAAGTCAACGAGTTGGCTACAGTCAGCATTTGCAACGTCCAAACTACTTGTGAAAGACAGCTGCTAGAAGCAAGGAGGAGAAGAGAAGTGAGAAGAGGATGTCCAAGAGGAGTGACACATACTGTTCTGGAAAGCTCTTGTCCCGTTGGTAGCTCTATTAAGGATCCGCCCCATAGGCACCTACCAGTGTAGATGTGTCATGCCGAACCTGATGGAGTGAGGGAAGCATGCAACGGTGTAACACAACAGTTCACGAAGGTGTTAGTACGGATGGGATGGTGGTCACTGTGGATATGAGCGATGCTGTGTGTCCTGATCGGAGTTGGAGGAGAAGATTCTGGTGGAGTTGTGAGAAGAGAAGGAGAGGATCCTATGTCCTGTGGGATTGACATTCCCAGTGTTAAAAATTGACTACCTAGCTGGTCCCCCCACTATTGGAAAAGCTCCCGTTCCCGTTATGAGTTCTGAAACTAGGCCGCCCAGTAAGCTTCTACCATCGTGGAATGAGGCTATGCCGCTGAAATTAGTTACCAGGGAAGAGGTACAATCGATATGTCTTATTCGAGTAACTCGAGGCAGTTAGTACGTAGTAGATAATGTAGTCAAGAAACTCCACGTCTCCAGAAACGATTTGTTCACTCATAGAAGATGGAAGCTGAAAGGCAGTGAAAAGTAAGCAAGTGTCTGTGGGCGACCTGCCATCTGCAAATGTTAACTCTGTATCTCTGCCTGCTGCCAGATGTACCATCATCAATTGTGAGATGAGAGACCAGCTGAACAACAGAAAATAAGATATTCAAAATGTATGTGTGAGATAAGATCCACGATATATCAGAATGTGTAATGGGCAAACGCACCCAGTAAGGTCATCCTTAAGCGGTCGAAAACACAATCAAAATCACAGATCCAAACAAAAACAAACTATATAACCTCTGCATGGAATGTCAGGACCCTTCTGGATACTGGCACAAATGAGTGTCCTGAAAGAAGAACAGTCCTTGTGGAAAAAGTGCTGGCTAGGTATATCATCGACATAGCAGCCATTAGTGAGTCCCGGCTCCCAGACAAGGGTCAACTCACAAAATGGAGGTCTAGCTATACCTTCTTATGGAAGGGTAAGCCTGCTGCAGAGAGAAATCGCATTTATGGAGTTGGCTTTGCCATCAGCCAACGCATCCTACACAGGCTAACTGAAATGCCTATTCGAATCAATGAGCGCTTCAGGACGCTCCGAGTCCCACTGAATCACTCACGTCATGCCTTTTTCATTAGTGCTTACGCCCCAACACTGGATGTAGAGGATGACATCAAGGAGGCCTTTTACGCCGACTTCGACAGAATGCTAACCTCTATCCCCAGAGAAGATAAGGTTGTGCTCCATGGTGACTTCAATGCTAGAGTTGGCAGAGATGTTGACACTTGGCAGGGAACCATAGGGAGAAATGGTCTAGGCAAGTGTAATACCAACGGCCTACTTTGTAACAGCACCATTTGCATTATAGAAATATTTACCCAAATGTATAATACCAAATTATTCATTAACTTATTCAACTGTGCCTCAGCTGTTGATATTATGCATAGCTGAGGTTGCAGTTCCTTCGGGGAGCAAGCGAGGTCTGGCTGAGGTCAGCTCATCTTAGCACAACCGTATATCTGACGTGTTTCCTTTCTCACACTACAGAGGGCAGCCGAGGTCAACCATATCATAACATACCTGGCCTGCTCATCTCTCTCTTGATAATAAAGTCTGGGGAGAGATCAGACTCATATCACTTGTTACCCAGTGAACACCCCACTTAAGTGTTCTCCTATAAGTGCACTAAGACTCTTCCCTTGCAGAGAAGGCACAATATACAGCCACTCCTCGACTTATGACGGGGTTAGGGACCCAAATCCAGGTCGTAAGTTGAAAATGTGAAGATAATACAGTCATGCGCCGGTTAATGTCCGACAGAACAACACCGATCGCATATACGTCCGTGCTCCACCCCCCCCCAAAAGTGACGCCTGTTGGACCACCACTCCACGATCCCCTGACAGAGACACGATGCTCCTCCCGATACTGGTCAGATATTATGAGTTAAAGGAATATGCTTCCTTACTTAAGCTTTTTTTAAGCATTTGCCTACAGGTGAAATGTTAACCTACATCTATTGAGGATAAAATCTTTCACCTACAAATTGACAATAACACATTTGCTGTAATCAGACATATCTAGCTGCCTCAACAATTGCAACCCCAGTTGCAACTGGGGTTGCAATTTCAAATTCTGTGGCATAACTAAAAATAGTAAAGTTTCTGGTGCACTCTAAGATTAAGAGAGAAAACGGAGGACTCAGGCGTCCTGATGTGAGAGAAAACGGACTCGTATGACGGGGGACTAAATAAAAAAAAGCATAGCTACATGTTTTGTGGACTACAGTATTAAGCGTACCCTTTTCATCACTTTGTAATAAACCTAGCCATGCCTGTGTGTGTTTATGATATTTACCATAACATTATATATATATTTAGTGGGTCTAAATGGTCGTAAAATGGGAAACTTGGGGTTGGGTCTTGGGTGCCTGAACCAATTAGAATAAATCCCATAGGTTCTGTACTTTCGTTATCGGCGGGGTCCCAATTAGGCGCGATAACCAAGGGATGACTGTACTGTACTGTATATACTTGTGACACTGGCCAGTTGCTTCTGGTGTTATGGTACAGGGGTACCAAGTGACAGCACTAGGATCCCGCTTCCTCTACCAATGAATAAACAATTAAAATTTAAATTGAAAAAAAACAAAAAACATTCAAATAAATTGCTATCTTACAAGAATCTGTAGCGTACTGTATGTGGCCAGTTGTCAATTCTCTTTGTATGGGCACACAAATGTACGTACATGTAGATATCTCACACTCAGGAATGAGGTAGGATAGAAATTCACAATGCGCTTTCTGTATATATATTGTTGTACAGCGCAGTGCTTAGGAGTGACTAGGTGAGGAGAAACTTGCTCAGAGGGTGAGGAGGTTTCTGGGGAAGCTGAGTGGTGAGGAGCTGTGAGAGATGTTGCTGGTCCAGTAGCCGAGTGTAGAATGGTCTCCCTGGACAGGCATGGCCGTATTTATACAATTTACGAGGATCAGGATTTGGGGTGAGCGTAGCGAGAGGACCAATCACAGCGGCTTAAGCGTAAGGTGTGAAACGCTCTGATCCTGAACTGGAGGTTGACGGTCGAGACTAGGTCGGCGATCGTACCCCTACGTCCTCTGCATAGACCTAGTCTCTCGGCGTAGCTGGCTGTACGCTGATTGGCTGGTAGGCACGCGGCCGGAGCTCAGTTGGGAGTTGTAGGGGAGAGGAGCCACTACAAATCCCTCCAATGTAAGTTATATTCACCCAGGTCGTTTGGGTGGAAAATTATGAGAAGAGATTAGTCACTCTTAAGTAATGATAAATAAACACGCAGGCAGGCCTTCAGTGCCAACTGTCAAATCTTATCTCAAATAAATAAACAAACAAACAAACAAACAAACAAACGCCAGACATCTCTTTCTCCCACCACCCGCAGCACAACGAGTCACCCCATGCAGCATCT